AGATAGCTTGTTACATCAGGATATGGGCATCAAACACCACGACGAACCGATAACCGAAGATGAGGAGCTCTCTCCAACGCTTGAAAATCTAGTTGTCTTAACATGGCTGAGACTGATAAACCCTGACATACCTAAACTTGTCAAACAGAGATACGGTACTGAGTTACGAGCAAGAACATTAGCCTCTATAAAACCTGAAATTTCGCAAGCACTGGACTCACTTTTAGAAGAGTTGCGTTCAGCAGAGGATGCCAAAACCATGAGAACAACGGTCAGAAAATTTCCACGACAAAAGCCCCAGTCAAGTCCATCTTGGTCTAAACCCAACCAAAAGTCGTGTCCGCTTTGCAAAGGCGCAGGACGTCCTGATCGCCACTTCCTTAGTAAGTGTACTTATTTGCCGCAACAAGACCGACAATTTTTGGCAAGAGCCCGCGCTACATGTATTGATGATATTCCTCTTGATGATTCTGAGTTACACGATCCCGAAGAAGAGTTTCGACAAGTGTCGGTATCTACTAACCGTGTTCAAGTTCGACAGTCTCCTTATCTTGACACTTACTGAGGCCATATTCCGATTTGTTTAACTGTTGACAGTGGCGCCACCGGTAATATGATTCGTGCATCAACTGCAGCACAACTGAACGCAAAAATCACCGCTAGCTCCCAATCTGCTCACCAAGCCGATGGTTCCTCTCCTTTAAACATTGTAGGGGAAACTAGGATAACATTTACACGCGATGATCATAACCTGTATTTTGAAGGGTTAGTTGTCGAACATTTAGATACAGATGTTTTGGCCGGTATTCCATTCATGGAGGTAAATGACGTTGCCACACGACCAGCTCGTCGTGAGGTGTCTATTGGAAATGACCACATATACTACTACGGCTCGCCAAGCACTTCAGCCCCAAATCACGCTATTCGTCGTGCTCACGTCGTACGTGCTCCTTCAACCTCAATTACGCTGTGGCCCGGAGACTTTATTGATGTTATGTTACCGTCTGACATGCGCTCCACAGACAACATCTTTTCGGTTGAGCCTCATACCAGGGACTCGGACAACAACTCTTGGCCGAATCTGAATCAAAAGCTCTACCTAACTCAGCAAATGCAAACATGAAAAAGTCAACACATTCCGATCAAGTCCGTGTCGACCCAGATAACTTATTGTCAACAGGTACGAGAGATCAGTTTAAATCGCTACTTATAAAGTATGATGACGTCTTCAATCCAAACTTTAAAGGTTAAAATGGTGCATTGGGTCCATTGGAAGCGAAGGTGAATATGGGTCCCGTGCAGCCTCCTCAGCGAAAAGGACGATTACCACAATATGCAAAATCTCAGTTATCTAGTCTCCAGGACAAATTTGACGAACTGGAACGTATCGGTGTCTTCAAACGCCCCGAGGAATTGGGAATCACAGTCGAGTATTTGAATCCGTCCTTTCTTGTAAAGAAACCGAATGGTACTTTTCGACTAGTCACAGCCTTTGCAGATGTTGGTAGATATAGCAAACCTCAACCGTCATTGATGCCTGATGTCGATTCAACTCTCAGGCAAATTGCGCATTGGAAGTATATAATTTTTACTGACTTGACTAAATCCTTTTACCAAATTCCACTGTCAAAAGACTCCAAGAAGTACTGTGGTGTATCAACTCCGTTCCGTGGCGTAAGAGCTTATGTACGTTCAGCAATGGGAATGCCTGGTTCTGAGACAGCTCTTGAAAAACTCACGTGTAGAGTGTTAGGACACCTAGTTCAAGATGGTACTGTTGCTAAAATCGCAGATGATCTGTATTGTGGCGGAAATACACCAGAGGAGTTGCTCACAAATTTCGAACGTGTATTGGAAGCGCTTCATTCATGCAGCCTCGATTTATCAGCTACTAAGACTATTATCGCACCTAAACAAGCATCAATTCTCGGCTGGATATGGGAACAGGGGAGTATCCGTCCTCATCGTATTTCAACGCTTTCTACATGCCAACCGCCTAAAACCGTCACTGCTATGCGCTCATTCATAGGCGCATACAAAGTGCTTTCTCGGGTCATTAACAACACATCAGAAATACTATCTCCTTTAGAAGAAGTCATAGCTGGAGGTGAATCAAAAGACTCTATTGTTTGGACTGACTACCTAGTAAGTGCGTTTTCTAATGCTCAAATGGCCTTATCTTCCAATCGCTCAATAACACTTCCCCGTCCGTCTGATCAACTATGGATTGTAACGGATGGTGCTTCGAAAAGCAAAGGTCTCGGGGCTACTCTTTACATCAATAGGAAGGATAAGCTTCATGTAGCTGGTTTCTTTAGCGCTAAACTCCGTCAGAACCAGAATCGTTGGTTACCATGTGAAATTGAGGCCTTATCAATCGCTGCCTCAATAAAGCACTTCAGTCCCTACATTATCCAATCGTCCACATCTACATGCATACTTACCGACAGTAAGCCATGAGTTCAAGCCTTTGAAAAGCTTTGCAGAGGGGAGTTTTCATCAAGTCCACGTGTGTCTACATTTCTATCTACCGCAAGTCGCTTTCAAGTTTCAATTCGCCATGTTTCTGGAGCAGCAATCTTACCATCAGATTTCGCTAGCCGAAACGCACCCGAATGTTCGAATCAAAACTGTCAAATTTGTTTGTTTATAAGTCAGCAAGAAGAATCTGTTGTGCGTCATATTACTACTGAGGATGTTATTAATGGAACCGTAAAATGTCCGTTTACAAGTAAATCGGCTTGGTTACCTATTCAATCAGAGTGTGCTGATCTCCGCCGTACTGTTGCGCATCTTCGCCAAGGCACAAGACCTTCAAAGAAGCTTACAAATGTAAAAGATATAAAGCGATACTTAAACATAGCCTCACTCTCTCGAGATGGACTCGTTATTGTTAAAAGGAACATGCCGTTTATGCCAAGTCAGGAATGTATTGTGGTTCCCCGACAAGTTCTCGACGGACTTTTGACCTCTATACATATAAAGTTGGGACACCCTTCCGTCAGCCAATTAAAATCCAAATCCGTCGTACAGAGGTACATTTATGCTTTGGATATGGACAAATCATTAGACATGGTCACTAAAGGTTGCCATCAGTGTGCATCCCTGGCAAAGGCACCAAAAATGCGGGATGAGCAAAGCTCCGAAGATCCACCGGAAACTGTTGGATTGGCTTTTGCTGCCGATGTAATGAAGCGGGAACGCCAACTCGTTTTAGTAGTTCGAGAATGTGTTACCTCGTTTACATTCACAAAGTTGCTAGAAAGTGAGCGTCATCATGACTTACGGGATGCTATCATACAATTATTGGCAGAGGTTCACCCGCTGGATGGTCCGTACGCTGTGACTAGAACCGATCCAGCTCCAGGTTTCAAAGCATTGGTAGATGACCAGTTATTAACACGACACCATATATCAATAGAGTTAGGACGTGCCAAAAACCTCAACAAAAACCCGGTCGCTGAAAAGGCTATACAGGAATTGGAGGGTGAAATTCTTAGAACAAACTCGTCACCTCATCAAAATACTAACTCCATGAATCTCGCGATAGTAACCGCCCGTCTTAACACGCGCATTCGCAAACGAGGCTTATCTTCCAGAGAAATGTGGATGCAAAGAGATCAGTTCTCAAATAGACAAATTCCTGTAGAAGATCAAAAATTAATATCATCTCAACAAATTCAAAGATCGACAAATCAAGTGAAAAAGCAAAATGCCCTTCAAATCAAACTCCGGTTACTCCTGATTTAAAAGTAGGCGATATTGTTTATCTTCGAAAAGACCTCAACAAAACAAATGCTCGAGAAAGATACATTGTAGTGACCTTGGAGTTTACATGGTGTAATATTCGTAAATTTATAGGTAACCAGCTCAGGAACAATTCATATCGTGTTAAGTGTTCCGATTGCTTCAAAACGACACATTACAAAGCTTCTACGAAAGAATCCCCGATTGAGTTCGACTCTGACGAAGAGAGCGAAAGGAATAAGCAAGAGATGCTTCACGTTTCGCCCGCCACACCAGATATCCCTTTGGAAATATCGATTCCACCTCCGAAACCTATTATCAGTTCAAATGACTATGATCCAGAATTGGTTACGTATTATTCTCAGGAGGGAAATATTGATAATGGCTCTGATTCGGAAACTAATACTGATGTTCCACATTTTGCGGAGTCCAATGTATCTAGTCGCCCGTCTCGAAAGCGGTGCCTACCTAAGAAGTTAAATGACTATGTTCTGTACTAGAGTGATTTGCACATTTTGGGGCATAATAATCCCCCAAAAAAACCTGTGACTGTTGTAGTATTAATCAAACCTAGATTCACTTAAGTGCAAGGGCATAATAATCCCCTTAAAACCGGAGGGCAGTCTACCCTATGATGGTTTTACATTTTGGAAGAAAAGGAAAGTGGTAGCGCCAGACTGTGTCAGACTGTGTATTTACATACATTCGGAACTTTGCCTGTTTCGGACTAAATGATGTTTTTCTCTCCCTTTATCTGTACTACGCATTTTGTTCATATTAAATCACGTATTTGATTATACTCTTGTGTGATCTACATCCATTTTACTGGCGCATCAAATCCATTATACCATGCCTGGCACGTGAACGACCCGTGATCATATAAATACTATTTATTCATTAGTTGCTATTTTTAGACACTTTTGTTCCTGTCTTACGATACGTTCTATATTTATTTCATTGACCCGCGCACTCATTAACTGCGTGACGTAAGGAAAACCCCTCACCTGGTTGGTCGCTAATTATACAAAAACTTTAAATAGTAACACCATAATTTTATGCACGGAATCCCCTCATGAAATGTTGATCTTTACGATAACACAATTTACAGGTCTATTTTCCGGGAAAATTGTTGATTTTTGGACAGGTAAATATTGAAGTCGGCGAAAGTCGCTTCCATTGAGATCATGCATGTCGGCGATTCTCGCTTACATGTGGTAATCGATAAAGCCGTCGTTTCTCGCTTCTATCAGGGAATGGTAAAAGACGGCGATTCTCGCTTCTATAAGGGAAAAGGTTAAACTTTGAATTTTTCTTATTCATTCTTTAATTTTTTTATTTCTTCACGGTTTTACTTCAAATTCAAAATAAACATATATTATCAACACCTTCATTATACGTATTTAATTTTCTTTTTAATTTTCATCTTTGTTACTATACATGTTAATGGTATATTTGAAAATTGTTATATTTTTTACTTTACTTCTTTGTGACTATAAAGGGTATCATCACTGTCATTAGTCTGTCTGTCTGTTCATAAAAACTGTTTCCTGAGATCACTTTTAAAGATTTTTTCCAACAAAGTTACTTTAAATAGAGAAAAGTTGAAACATTTGTTATACTTATTCATCCTGAGAAAATTGGACCTTTTGATTATCTGTTGTATAAATATAATTTTCTTACTTGGCAGGGAAACTTAACTAACATAGACAATTTAGAACTCAATTCAAAAGATTTAAGTTCATTCATGTCATTCATTCATTCAATGGTATAATTGAATGGCCAATGGCCTATCAGAATGTTGCTGGGGTTCTAACCGGTATGGGACTTATGGATTGCTTGCAATACTTTGATTTTTTCTTCTTTATTCAGCATGTCATAAGAAATGTCTACAGGCCTTGCAGAAAAAGAAACCACAGGAAAGAAAGGAATGTGAGATTCAAGCAGTATTGGCTTTGCATCTGTTTAGTCTATTAGTGGCCAATCCACAGTTACTTGCTGATCTGACATGTGATGAAAAGTGTTGTTCATGTGGTAAACGAGTCAATAAAGGAGACACTTCCTTTGGTGGCTAGAGCTTAAGAGGAAATGGTATTTATAGTGCAGGGTTTCCACTGGCCAATTTTTATTTGTTTGGTCGTCAGACCAAACAAATAATTGTAGCGAAATTTCAGACTCTAATGCTGTTAATTGCAATTGCCGAAAGTAGTCCACTTTTTTGAAGCGGTTACTTCCCTTTATATGTACGCTAACGCCGAAAAATTCAGGGGAGATCACTGCGTAAAGATGGTCAAATGATAGGCGCATTAATTTTCAAGCAAAATAATTCCCGAATGGTCGAAGATTTCTAATATTGTTTCATTCTTTATAGATATACATGCTTATAGAAGCTCCATGATTATTTACATCTGTGTTAAACAACAGTTAGCGTGGTTACAAACCCTAATTTAGAATAATATGGTTTTCTTCAGGCAGTTTATATATAAATTCTCCGTGGCCTAGGGCTTAGGAAGCGAGAGGTCTGGAGTTCAAATCCCAGTTAAGGAAACTTATTTTTTGTTTAAGTCAAATAAACATTGGATTGAATATCAGTGTTGCAATTAGTCTTCTAGCCAATTTACTACAATTAAATCGCTGGAAAGCATTGGTGACACTATACAAAAACAAATTGGTTTATAATCTCACAACCTTCACCTTTCTGACATTCTGAGACCCAAACAAATTCAGCGCCTTCTGTGCTTTGATTATGCTCCCCACAGGGTGAGATTATAGTCGCTGCTTTGTCCATCCGTTCAGATGTCCGTCCCCTTTATTTGTCTGTGACATAACTCTGAGGTATCAACATGAAACTTTGCAGGTATATAGATCTCATTAGGTAGATGTTGATTTTGGGGTCACTAGGTCAAAGGTCAAGGTAACAGGGGCCTTAAATTTTAATGTCAAAATGGTTTCTGCTGATTATCTTGAAAGGTATTCATCACAAAGTCATATTTAACATAGACATTGGCCATAACTAGTAGATGACCCCTGTTGATTTTGGGGTCAAAGGTCAAAGGTCAAGGTCACAGGGGCCTTAAATGTCAAAAAAAAATTCGCTGATTATCTTACAAAATATTCATCACAAAGTATACATGTTTCACATATTGATTGGTCATATTTAGTAGATAACCCTATTGATTAGGGTCACTAGGTCAAAGGTCAAGGTCACAAGGGATTTAAATGTCAGAATGGTTTCCGCTGATTATATGGAAAAGTATTCATCACAAAGTCTTCAAATTTCACATATTGATTGGTCATAACTAGTACATGACCCCTATTGATTTTGGAATCACTAGGTCAAAGATCAATGTCACAGGGGCCTTGAATGGTAATATGATTTCCCCTGATTATCTTGGTTACAAAGTCTTCATATTTTTCACATATTGATTGGTCATAACTAGTAGATGGCCTTTATTGATTTTAGGGTCAGTCACTAGGTCAAAGGTCAAGGTCACAAGGACCTTAAATGTCAGAATGGTTTCCGCGAATTATCTTGGTTACTCTTACAACAAAGTTTTCATATTTCACATATTGATTGGTCATAACCAGTAGATGACCCCTATTGATTTAGGGTCACTCAATCAAAGGTCAAAGTCACAGGGCCATAAATGTCTGAATTGTTTCCACTGATTATCTTGAAAAGTATTCATTGCAAAGTCTACATATTTCACATATTGATTGGTCATATATAGTAAAGGACCCTATTGATTTTGGGGTCAAAGGTCAAGGTCACAGGGGCCTTGAATGGTAATATGATTTCGGCTTATTATCTTGGTTACCATTTTTTACAAAGTCTTCATAATTCACATATTGATTGGTCATAACTAGTAGATGAAAACTTTTGATTTTGGTGTCACCAGGTCAAAAGTCAAGGTCATAGGGTCTTTGAATGGTAGTATGATTTCAGCTCATTATCTTGAAAGATAATTATCACAAAGTCTTCATATTTCATAGTGATTGGGCATAACCAACAGATGATCCATGTTGCTTTTGGGGTCACTAGATCAAAGGTCAAGGTCAAGGTTTAATGGGCCTTAAATGTCAGAATGGTTTCCGCTGATTATCATGAAAACTATTTATCACAAAGTCTTCATATTTCACATACTGATTACTAGTAAGTGACCCCTATTGATTTTTGGGTCACTAGGTCAAAGGTCAAGGTCACAGGGTTCTTGCATGTTAGTATGGTTTCCGCTCATTATCTTGAAAGCTATTTATTACAAAGTCTTCATATTTCTAATATTGATTGGTCATAACTATTAAATGACCCCTATTGATTTTGGGTCACTGGTTCAAAGGTCTAGGTCACAAAATGTCTCATTATTTTGAAAAATATTTATCACAAAGTCTTCATTATTTTTCTTTTTCCATACTTGAACACTTCCATGTACCCATTTATGGCAAGTATCTTTAACAAAATTACCAATAATGTGAGTCAAGGGCTAGAAAGGGGGCATATGTGTCGTTTGACATTTCTTGTTCTTCAAATAGTCCAAGTTGCTGGTGGGGGTATTAATCACCTTTAGTGATAGCTCTTGTCTTTTCTTCGTATCTGTAAGAATTCCAGGAGGGAATTTGGGGTAGCAAGCCATAAAAGACTTTCCAGTTGGAATGCTTTAGTAAAGTTTACGACATCCGGAACGGACCTCCCTCTGGGACCCTCCGCAATGGCGGAAAAAAACTGGCCAGTGTTAACCCTGCTTTACACACGTTTTCCACTGACTCTGTTATCAGACATTTTCTTTTCTTTGTTCAAATCCAAATTTTGTCAGCAATAACCACTTTCAATTTCCACATTTCACACAGAACTGGAATAGGTTATATAATTTTAGCCTATAGAAATTAAACTTGCAAAGACCTTCACAGAATGCAGTTGTTTTTTTTTTCTAAAAATATCATCGTCACAAAAATAATACATATTTTCTGCCTTTATAGTAAAGACTTTTAAACAGAATATAGCTTATTTTCACTTTGTAATATTAAAAACAATCAAAACATCTCAAAAATACTGTAAAACAACCTTATTTCGCGAATTTGAGGCAAAATGTCCAAAATAATTATTTTGCGTCAACAAGAATTTGCGTCTTCCTGAAAAATGTGAAAGCGGAAACCGATTTCATTCGGATATTTTCTGTCCTTTCCGTTCACTAACTTTGCGTCGTTTATTGTCCGACAAATGCATTTATATCTGTATCGATTTTTCTGATAGCTTGCTAATCCTTTGTTAAGTGAAACCGTCTGTCTAAAAATATGTCAATAAAGTTTGATAATTATTTGATATGTGTTCACTGTGTTAAAGTTTCACTGATTAGCCAGTCAAAGGCAAGCAGACGAAAATCAATTAAACGGTACTGTAATTTGCCTAACCTGTAGTACACGATTATGTTTACCCTCCAGCTTAAAATGTAGTACAATACAATGTTACAAACAACTTGCAGGTGCTAAAATATTTGTACCAATTAGAACAATCTGTAGAAATACCATTAAAATTTTGTAAGACGCATTAATTTGTTTATACTTAATTCTAGTGCAAGTCACAGTTACATTCCTTGACACAGGTGATATGCAGCGAAGAAGTTTTTTTTCCAATTCCACATAATACTAAATTGTCACAGGTATATTTTTCATACTAGTAATGACTGTACGATATGTATATGCTGCAACACTTGTAACTTGAACTGGTTTCGATACTTTCCCGCAGATATATATCCATGTGTACGCATTTTCGGATAGTGTTCATTTTCGGACAAGTGTATAGACAACGTGAAATATTCGCGAGAAATATGAATTCGCGTCTTAGAAAACTCGCGAATATTAGCGAAAATAAATTTCTCGCGAATAATAAGTGTTTTACAGTATGTGAAAATTGAATTTTTTTTAGAAATAGTCACAATTTTGTCTGGAAGTAAATACTTTTATAAATATTTAAACATTATGTTTTCCACTGGGAATTAAGTCAATCAGCTTAAAACAAAAATTTTAAAATTTGCAATTGACGGCAAATTCTGGGTAGGTTATTATTAATTATTATGTTGGACAATATCTTTAAAGTACTTTCACATGTACTTTTATCACCTCGGGCAATAGTAGGCCCCTAATCAATGTGTGACCAATAATAAGTTGACACCTGTTAAAATCCACCCCCACCCTGCTGGTATTAATTGGGTCTACTGCATTCTTTATTGATTTTTACTACATTCTTTCTTGATTTTTACTGCATTCTGTATTGATTTTTACTGCATTCTTTATTGATTTTTACTGCATTCTTTCTTGATTTTTACTGCATTCTTTCTTGATTTTTACTGCATTCTGTATTGATTTTTACTGCATTCTTTATTGATTTTTACTGCATTCTTTCTTGATTTTTACTGCATTCTTTCTTGATTTTTACTGCATTCTGTATTGATTTTACTGCGTTTTTTACTGCATTCTTTATCGATTTTTACTGCATTCTGTATTGATTTATTCTGCGTTTTTTACTGCATTCTTTATCGATTTTTACTGCATTCTTAATCGATTTTTACACCTTATATAAACACTGTTGGAAGTAAAAATTTATCATTTTCTGTTTCATTTTTCAGGAAATAGTAAAGTTTGGCATGGTCGTGCAGATATCTTAATAAGACACAGTAAAGTTAAAGTGGTAAAGGATGTTCGTGAAGAGATAGATGAGGAGGGTTGTGGTGAACCTCAACATAAAAAGATCAGGAAATATTCAGAGGGAAGTACATGTACATCTGATTACTATGAGAGTGATACATCCTTCGTTAAGACAGCCTATAGAGACCACTACATGCCACTTGGTCCATTTAAACTCCAAACAGGGGTGCACTGTAAGGATTTGTCACAAGTGCTCGCACAAACAATAGTGAATGCCTTCATTCAAAATAAGAAATTTCCTGCTTTAAAAGAATATTTTATTCCATGTTTTTTGGCATCTGAAAACAATATAACTATTCATATGTATAATCCGTTCTATGATATTCTTTTAACACATGGAGAAAGTATGCAAATATTTTCTCAAGGCAAATTAAATATTGACACTATTTTCGCTGTTTGGATGGCATTAAATTTTTATAAGTTTCCTGTAGGTTTGTCGGATGAAAATATTCAAGAAACATGGCAAAAATACTTTACAGAAAGTTCTGGTTTTCATAATGCTATCTCTTCTTGTATGGATGTGTACAGAAATGAAATGGATGAACCTATGATACATGATGACCCAGTGGATCAGAATATGAATCATAATAATCTTGCTTTCATATTTTTATTGAAAGAAATGTGGGAGAATGAAGTAAATACATAATTCAAGTCATTGTTTGTTCATTGTTTGTTTATAGCTTAGCCTGCATTTTTGTGATGAAATATGTGTAGGTTATTAGCATATCTATTGAGGGATTTTAAAATAATTTTTATGCCCCCTCCCAATAAAATGGCAGGGGGGCAGGGGTATATAGTGTTACCCTGTTCCATCATCATCAGTTTCCGTTTATTGTGCCCCCACTATAGGGGGGGGGGGGCATTTAGATTTACCCTTGTCCGTCCATCCGTTAGCAATATGGTTTCCGGAACATAACTTAAGTTCCATTTGGCCCACAATATTCAAACTTCATAGGATGATTGTCCATATTGGGTAGAAGACCCGTATTGATTTTGGGGTCAAAGGTCAAGGTCACTATTACCTTAAAACTTAAAACAGTTTCCGGAGCATAACTTAAGTTCCATTTGACCCACAATATTCAAACTTCATACGATGATTGTCCATATTGGGTAGAAGACCCCTATTGATTTTGGGGTCAGAGGTCAAGGTCACTATTACCTTAAAACTTAAAACAGTTTCTGGAGCATAACTTAAGTTTCATTTGACCCACAATATTCAAACTTCATAGGATGATTGTCCATATTGGTTAGAAGACCCCTATTGATTTTGGGGTCACATCGTCAAAGGTCAAGGTCACTATTACCTTACAACTGAAACCAGTTTCCGCTCAACTGTCTCCGTGGTCGAGTTAGAGTCGATGACTTCTAATCCAGTTACCTCTCTGGCGTGGGTTCGATCCCCGGGTGATGCTTTGGTAGTTGAGTGCGGAGGAAGGTAGTCTAGTACTGGTGTAACTCACCCTTTTCA